ATGTGGAATCCGTAGGATCGATACGCTTTATGTGTGTTGAGTTTACATACTGTAGTAGGAGGACTGGATCAGTAGGATCGTTACGCCTTGTGCGCGTGGTATTGATATGTTGTGTGCGAGATATGAGGATCAGTATGATCGTTACACCTTGAGTACATTGTGGTTGGTGTGTTGTGGTGAGTGGATCTGTGAGGATCGGTACACTTATTATGCGTTGCACTTATGTGCGACTATGTGATATACTTGGGTCAGAAGGACCGACGTGCCTTGTGTGCATTGATGTGTGATATGTTGTGTGGTGAGTTGATCGATAGGATTGATGCACTTTGTGTGCTTGTGTATGTATGCATATTATGATGCAATAGACCAGTGGGGTCGTGTGCACTGTGTGTGTTGTGTATTTATGCATGGTGTCTTGCATAGCATGTGGACGTGAGACCTGTGTGGCTCACGTGCTCCAAATGGGGAGCGTGGACGTGAGGCATGTGTGGCTCACGTGCTCCAAATGGGGAGCGTGTGGTCGCAGTGTATGATTCACTGGCGTGCTCCGGTGGGAAGCGTGGACGGGATTTGGATTGTTGCTCGGATGAAGTGTATGCGACCACCCGTGTCCCAAGTGGGGGGCGTTGAGATTTGATGATATGAGCTCAGGAGGAGCGTGGTAGGGATATATCGTTGGTCAGAGGGAGTGTATGCGATCTATCCTGAGTTGAGTCGGTACCGCATGTTGTGAAGTCCAGTGCATGTGTTGCATAGTGAGTTGTGTATGTGTTGTGATTGTTGATGATGGGACAGTAGGTCCAGATATGTGGTATATGAAATAAATAATTTATTGCTTTCTGCCTTTTATTTCATGTACCTTTATACCATTATTATTTGATCGTGATTCTCACCCCTCTGTTGTTGTTGTGGTCTGTGCTTCTTCGGAAGTACAGACAATCCAGGTGTTTAGCTAGCTTGGATTGTGGTGTCTCTGTAGGACTGCTCTGATACGTAACACCGGGGCGTTTTGGGAGTTTATGTGTTTATTTATTGATTATATGTACCCCAGTGGCGTATCTAATTTTGGGAGATATGTGTTGATGGTTGATGATACTATATATGTTTTGGGGCGGTTAGCCGGCTGATGTATATGACGATGTTGATGACATGATGTATATGTGTTATTTCGATTTGTGACAGACTATATATATATATATATATATATATATATATATATATATATATATATATATATATATATATATATATATATATATATTTTTTTTTTTCGTTGCAGTTTTATGGAGAAAATTAACGTGGTAAAATGTTTTGTGGAATTTTAGTGTGAATTGTGACATCCCGTTGTGGGAGATACTCTGATGTTTGTTTATTTTAAGTGCTTTATTTTATTTTGGGAAACGGGGTGTTACATTATACACTTCAGTAATCAAGTTTAACCTTCTAAGTATTTGTCAATTGCTTGAGAAGGGTTACAAGATTCACATGGAAAATAAGGTGATACAAGCTATAAATGAAAACATGATTTTGGTCCTAGAAGCTCCTATGTGTGCAAATTGAACTTTCAAGGTTGATTTGAAGGTTATGGAGCATAGGTGTATTGCTACAATGGCGATTCAAGAAGAGTGGATATGGAAATATAGGCTTGGACATCTAAACTTTAGAGATCCTAATACCTTGCAAAAGAACGAAATGGTAACATGGTTGCCATTGATCAATACACCAAATGAAATTTATGAAGAATGTGAACAAGCAAAGAAACATAAGGGTAAATTCATGAAGGATGTAAGTTGTAGAATACATAATCATCTTGAGGTGGTGTACTCGGATGTGTGTGGACCGATGCAAGTTGACTCGATCGATGACAATAGATAGTTTGTCACCTTTATTGATAATCATATTAGAAAGCTACAGACATACATAATCAAGAGAAAGTATGAGGTATTTTAAGTGTGTAAGAAGATCAAAAGTCCATGGTTGAAAGGAAAAGCGATCACAAGCTCTAAGTGCTCAAATGGATGGTGGAGGCGAAAATGTCTCAAATGATTTTGGGAGGTTTTGTGATTAAGAAGGGATAATACATGAGGTAGTACCACCATATACACCACGGTAAAACAATGTTGCCAAAAGGAAGAATTGATCGATCATAAACATGGTAAGAAACACGTTAAAGGGGAAATTTTTTCCAAAAGAGTTATGGGGAGAAGTGGTGTCCACGACTGCATGTTTGTTGAATAAGTGTCTAACGAAGAAGCTTGAGAAGATAACATTAGAAGAAACATGGCCTGAATTTAAACCAAACTTGAATCACTTGAGAGCTTTCGGTTCCGTAGCGTATCGACATGTTCCGAGGCAGCTTAGAAAGAAACTGGATGATAAGGGAGAATTGATGATGCTTGTAAGGTATCATTCTACCAGTGGTTACAAGTTGTATGATGCAACAAACATAAGGGTTACAATCAGCCGATACATTGTTTTTGATGAGATAAATTAATTGCAACAATATGTAACCGACTACCAGAAAGCTGTAACCGCTTACAACATTGAAAATTCAATTTTTGCAAAATTTGAGAGTGTAGAAATGCCCGTCGTCGAAACTTGAATTGAAGAGAATGTGAGAAGATCAATAAGTCAAAGAGGTTTGACTCAAAGACTCCAATATTATTAGTTGTTCCAAGACAACAAAGTCAATGATGATGGTGATTTCGTCTATTATGCACTTATTGTTGAATATGAACCCGTTAAAATGGATGAGTCCTTGAGTGATCCAAAGTGGATTTGTGTTATGAAGGAGGAGCTAGAACCCATTGAGAAAAATAAGACTTGGGAGTTGGTTGATCTACCGGATGGGAAGAAGTCAATTGGTGTAAGATGCATGTTCAAAGTGAAGGCGAATCCCAAGGGTGAAATAATAATGCATAAGGCTTGATTTGTTGCGAAAGGACTCTTGCAAAAAGAAGGCATATACTTTGAAGATGTATTTGCACCGATGGCTAGAATTGAAACCATTAGACTAGTTTTTGGTATTTCGAATAACAATAATTAGTCCATATATAAAATGAACGTCAAATCTACGTTTTTGAGCAAACCGCATGAATAAGAGGTGTATGTATAACAACCTTGTGGTTTTGTTGTGAGAAACCAAGATTTAAAGTGCTACAAGTTGAAGAAAGCGTTGTACGGTTTGAAATAAGCTCAAAGAGCTTGGAACAAGAGGATAAATGTTTTATTAAAGGAGACTGGCTTCAAGAAGTGTGTATCCGAACATGGTGTGTATGTGAATACGAGTACAAATGAAGGAGTAATAATCATATGCCTATACATATATGACTTGTATATTACTGGCAGCGATGAAGAGTGCATTTCTAAGTTCAAGAGTGAACTTATGAAAGCGTTTGAGATGACCTACCTTGGCCTCATGACATACTTCCTTGGAATTTAGTTCCGCAAGTCCAAAAGGGGACTGCTCATACACCATAGAAGGCATGCGCTTAAAATATTAAAGAAGTTTGAAATAGAGCATTGTAATTCTTCCATTACTCTGGTTGAGTCGAGACTATATTTTTCGAAGGATGGGGATGGGTAAGATATTAATCTAACTCAGTATATGAGGCTGATTGGATCCTTGCATTACTTGTGGAAGACATGGTGTTTAGTGACAGTATTGAGTAGATTCATAGAGTGATCGAAGGTGTCTCACTTGGCAACAATCATGAAAATCATAAGATACGTCAAAGGATCAATTTGCTGCAAAATTCTTTTTCTCGCGGCAGACATGGACAGAAAATGCAATTTACTCGATTTTATCGATTCCAATTGATGTGGAGATAAACATGACCGAAAGCCTACATTTGAATGCATCTTTATGTTTGGTGGAACAACAATCTCATGGTGTTCGAAGAAGGAACCAGTAGTAGTACTCTCATCTTGGGATGTAGAGTACATTACCGCTTCATTGCGTGCGTGCCAATCCGTGTGGCTAAGGAATCTATTGAAGGAGCTGGGCAACGATGAGAGTGACGTTGTAACGCTCATGGTTGATAACATTTCTGCTATAAATTGCTAAGAACCCAATTGCATATGGGAGGAAAAAACACATTGAGATGAGGTTTCACGACTTGAGTGAATTTGTTAGTGAATGAAGATTGAGATTGAGATATTATTGAAGTGAAAATCAAGTGATTGATTTGTTGACCTAGTGAGTTACAATTGAAGTGTTCAAGAGGTTGGAGATGAATGTGGACATGAAAAACTTAGATCACTTGAATTAATGTGGTGTGTGAAGTGAAAAACAAAAATTCAAGTGTTGTAATCGATTATTACGAAGATGTAGCCGATTACAGCTGGACGAAATTCACTTTTGAGACTAAAATAGAAAGCTGACTTGAGAGTGTAACTGGTTACACATTCACAGTAACCAATTACCACTGCGTTGTTTTTAATTTTTGTAACTACTGTAATCAGTTATAGGTTTTATATAATCAATTACATACGATTACATTTTAAATTTTAAATTTTTTTTTTGATGTTGTTCCTCTTTTCTAATCCCCTTGTATTTAAAAGTATTATGAATGAAAGTTTGCTAATTTCTCGCCCAAAATTATCCTCTCACTAATTACAATTCTTTTTTTCACTCTCTCCCTCTCCATGTTTAAATTTCTCAAGTATTCCCCGATGTTATAATTTCAGATTCTTGTCAAATTTAAAGGATGAAAGAAGTAGTTCTAGAAAAAAAAACAATAGGATAACATGGAAAGAAAAAAATATATATAAAAAAGCAAACAAAGCCTTATTTTTCTTTTTGTGTTTGGAAATAGAAGGCCCATTAATTAAAATGGTAATAATAAGTTCAAAAACCACTGCACAACCTGCAGGTCCATTACCCTATTCCATTCCACCACTCCTTAGCCTCTCTCCATAAGTACCCCCTTCCACCTTCTCACTTTCCACTCGTCCCCAAATCAACAACAACGACACAACCTCTTTCTCTCTCTATACCAATGGCTGCAATTCTCCTCCTCACCATTGCATCACTAACCTCACTTTTTGCTCCAACCACCGCTCGAATCCCCGGAGTTTACACCGGTGGCCCCTGGACAAGTGCCCACGCTACTTTCTACGGCGGCAGCGACGCCTCCGGAACAATGGGTAAATAAAAACAAACAACCTTAAACTCTGTTTTCCTCTGTTTTGTAACCCATTTCAACTTTTTTTTTTGTTTGGGTTTTTTCAGGTGGTGCTTGTGGGTACGGAAACTTATACAGCCAAGGCTATGGCGTCAACACCGCAGCACTAAGCACAGTACTATTCAACAATGGCTTAAGTTGCGGTGCATGTTTTGAACTCAAGTGTGACCAAGATCCACGTTGGTGTAACCCTGGAAACCCTTCAATCTTAATCACTGCAACAAACTTTTGTCCTCCGAATTTCGCTGAACCCAGTGACAATGGTGGCTGGTGTAACCCACCTCGACCACACTTCGATCTTGCTATGCCGATGTTCTTGAAGATCGCTCAGTACCGCGCCGGAATCGTCCCCGTCGCTTACCGCCGGTGAGTTGTTCTATTCCACCACCACTTTAATGGGATGTATTCAAGTTTCTAACTTTTTGGGTTTTTCATTGTTGAAAATAAGAGAAAACTTGGAAGAGAATTGAGATTTCTTTTCTCTTCTCTTTCTTTCTCTCCTTTTTCTTTCTTTCCTAAACGAGTCTTCTCTAAAAAAAAAAGTCTATATACATAACAAAATATTAATGTTTGATGTATTTATACATGAAAGTTTATTAAATATACCTATTAAATACACTACTTCATTTACATTTATTAATAAATGACTTGTAATAAATAAATAAAATAAAATTTCATTTTACTCTTTTGAAAGTATGAGCTTGCACCGCCTCCACATATAAAAAACAGCTGAGAAAGTGAATATATTTTTGTTTTTATTTCTAGTTTTATGCAAATGTTTAATTTCAACACCGTATGTTTTCTTAGGAAACAAACAATAAATTGTATTTGAGTCTGTTCAGCTACTTCATCAGATTCCCATTCTAAGTGTTTTGTCTATTTCACTTTCACACTCATAAATAGAAACCAAGAACCATTCTTCTTCCTTCTAGCCACGCTCAGTAATGAATATTTAGTATTTTGTTTTGTGTTAACATTGTGATGAGAAACCATTTAGGTTACTAATATTGCAATTTTAGGTATTTTTCGTTTATGGGTAATTAAGCTACTTTGGTGAAAGTGGATTTTAATTTGATCCGTATTTAAGAAATTAATGTGTTACCAAATTCATTTATCACTTTTGTGCTCTTTCGGTGTGTTGGTACATATGCTTTTGTCTCTTTTTTGTCAGTGTCAAATGACTAAAATAGCCTCAAATAAACAATATACATATGAGTTCTTTTTAGGGTATTATAGTCGTTCTACCACTTTTGCAAATTGTTTAACTCTACAAGGGTATATTAGTAATTATAAACCATATAAGAACAATATAGTTTCCAGAAAATCTGGATTTAATTCAGAAAATAAATCTTTTTACAGTTTCATACGGATGTTAGGTCACACATGCTTAGAAAAAGGTTCATATTTTGGGGCTTTGTAGCAAGAAATAAAATTAGTAGTTGGAAGTATATAGCACATGTCATATCATTATTTATGGCTTGGTTTCAAAAATGTCTAAAATTTTAATATGATTATTCATTGAATTAAAATAAAATAATACATTATATTTTTTTTATTAAATTAACCGACAAATTTTTTTTTTTAATTTTAAAATAAAAAAATTGACTTAATATTGATTATTTGTTTGTATTGCAGTGTGCCATGCAGAAAGATAGGAGGCATCAGATTCACAATCAACGGTTTCCGTTACTTCAACTTGGTTCTAATCACCAACGTCGCGGGTGCAGGGGATATCGTGCGCGTGAGTGTAAAAGGAACCAACACAGCGTGGATGACAATGAGCCGTAACTGGGGGCAAAACTGGCAATCCAACGCAGTTTTTGTGGGCCAGGCTCTCTCTTTTAGAGTCACCGGCAGTGACCGTCGTACATCAACGTCATGGAACGTGGCACCACCTCATTGGCAGTTCGGACAAACCTTCACAGGAAAGAATTTCCGCGTCTAAAAAATGATTTAAAAAAAAAAAATCAATACTCTATATTTTTGACTTGTTTAAGTTTTTCCCTCTTCAAATTTCCTTTATTTTCCCGGGAAAATTTTGAACTGGGTATGAAAAAATAGTAATAGAGTTGGGTAGGTTTAGAAAAAGTAAAGGTGAAAGTAAAAGTGAAAGTGAAAGTAAGTTTATTAATATTAATAATATTAATGTAAGTTGAAGGGGAAAGGTGTTTGTATTGAAGTATTAGAGTGATGCTAAAAGTGTAATGTGATGGGTGATGTTGGTATATTAATTACCCAGCATTTGAAACCCATTTCTGTGTTTTTTTTTGGAGCTCAAAAGTGTGTATGGCTGAAGAGGTTGCAAGGATAATGAACATGTAGCCCGCAGCTCTAGTTTTATTATTATAAATTAAAGTTTGTTACTATATGAATGTTACTATCATATATTTCAGTTGTTATATTTGCTCTTTTTTGTTATGTTTTGTATTGTATTGTGATTAAGTGAATTGTAAATTGAAGATTTTAGGTGGATGTTAATGTTGGAGGGAATGAAATATTTGAGTGTTATCTAAATTGTCAGGTGAATATTTTAAAAATGTGAAGTTTTCCTTGTAAAAGAAGAATTAAGGGAGTATTATTTTAGTTACAAGTTACCACACTTTAAGTTACTATTTTACTTCAGAAACAAAAGGATTCATTCTTAAAACAGACTAGTTTGTTTGTTTGGTTACACGGTAGAATTTTTAAGGTTGGTCAAAAGAAAGTCTTCTAAACATGTGAATCTAGTGTAGCGGGTAGAAAAGGTTGGTCAAAAGAAAGGCTTCTAAACATGCGAATCTAGTGTAGCAGGTTGGAATTCGCATTCATACAACTATATTTTTACACAACTATACACAACTATCAACTGTGAATTTACATTTTTACATAACATAATCCAAAGTTTTAATAGCATGGAGTAATAAGTAAGACTGAATTTACATAACATAATCCAAAGTTTTAATAGCATGGAGTAATAAGTGATAGAAAAATATATATAGTAAGAAAAAAAACACTAAACTATATTTAACCTAATATATATTTTCTAATATCTCTCAAATGTTAATAAAAAAACATTGAGAATTTGTCAATCTAAGAAACAAAAGTGTTTAGTAAAGTGTATTTTTATAAACAAGTCAACAATATGCATTATAGTGATTGATGTTAAAGTTATGTATCTCATTGATGGTAAGATATTAGAGTGTCAATGTTATACATTAGACTTATTTATATGAAAATGATAAGTTTACACCTATTTTTAGGTATGTTTATACATACAATATATAAGTTCTAATTTTTTAATAATTTGTTTTGCCTTAATTTCTGTGTAAATTCTTTTTTTCTTTTACTAGTTTACGGTGTAAAAGACGGTGTGAGGAAAAAGAGTGTAAATATAACATAACTCTTATTTATATTACTGATTTATTGTTATATTAAATTTGAAATGTGTAACATATCACAACTTGGAAATATGTTCTTGATTCCTTTTAATATTTTAAATTTGAAATGCGTAATATGTTACGACTATGGAAATATGTTCTTGATAAGGTCTTTTAGCCAATATGTTTTTTTTCTCTTCAGGATATAGCCTATCGAAAACGGTCTTTTTAAAGCTGGACGCCAATTCCCATCGTTGAATATTTTAGATTTGAATTCTGTGTTCAATTTCTTTGCATCCTTAAGTTTTGCACCATACTCTATTATGTACGCGAGTGTTGAAACCTTCTAAGAAGACCAGTCTCAATTATTTTATTTGGACGTGAAGTGAATTTACTTAGCAAGTCTTTTTGAATTAATGTCGATGTTGCCTCCTCCGCTACAATTGCACCAAATTAGAAGGATATTTCATTAGTCGAGGATTAGGGCATATTGTATTACACCCATATGACTCCAATAGGCACTAGAATCGCTCGATTTTATAAAATCTTGATTGAGATGATTAATCTATAAATTGTAGTTAGTGATTAAGTATTCAGCATGATATATATTTGGTATTTTAATCACATGTTGAATATTGCTTGAATTAAGGTGATTTCTATGCTACTTGAAAATGGATTTAATTATATTTGACATAAGAGATGATATTAATAAATTGCATTCAAAATTGTTAGAGAAAATCAAGGTACAAGTCGAGCATAATTGATTTTCCTATTTTATTTAGTGCCTTTGTATCTTGTTTTGAGAAATTAATCTAATTGAGATACTTTCTTGTAAAATAAAAACTATATTTATAAATTAGACATCTTAATCTTTCCAAAAAAATTCCCTTTTTACTAAAATTCGACTCCATTTTATATTTTAATTAATTATTCGAAGTTAAGAACTAGCTAGTAGAAAATAAAATTTTTGAAATTACTTTGATAAAAAGACATGTACACAAGGTGATTGATGAAATAATTGATGATCTTAAAGCATACATTTTGCATAGATGTTTTATAGATGTTTTCTAGTTCTAGAGTAAATAAGAGATAATATAGAGACAGTGAATTGATAGCACGTTATTACAAAGGTTATGTAAAGGATATGGAAAGTTAGGCTTTGTGTTTGTCGTACAAATGTTAATTAATGTGAATTGATATTGGTGTCGTTAGGTATGTGTGCATGTTGTTGAGTTTATAATTCTTTGTGTTGAAGTAATGTAATTGACAGAAATAAGGATTAGTCAAATTAATCTTGTGTGTTAGTGTGTCGAAGTGTTGAAGTAGGTTGTTTCACACATGATTTCGACTTAGATCTATTTTAGTATTTTGAGCTTTTATAGTTTTGGATCTTGACTTGGGGTGCAAGCTAACCTAAATCTATAAATAGGGAGAACCCCTTATTTAAAAAAAACTCACCATTCTTTGTAATTCATAGTTTGTAGTTGCAAGTGAAATAATAGAATTTCCACAGTTTGTAGGCAGAGAGTTCTCTGCAGAAAATTGTTGTTGTTGTTGTTCTTCTTCTTCAACGTTTCACTTTCTTTCTTTTCTTTCTTTCTAAACTTTTCTTTCATTGTCATTACATGGGTTGAAACAATCTTGAGATCAATATTGATTGAGTGAAATTCTCCATAGGTTGTGGTTGAATTTTCAACCTCTGGTATCTAGAGTTCTGGTTACGATTCAAGGAAGGAAAATCGTGATGGCGATGAATCATCCAAACGGTCACTTTCCGGAAAACCTTCCAATTCTCAAGAAAGATAATTATGAGAGTTGGTGCACGCAGATTAAGGTGATTTTCTGTTATCAATATCTTTGAGATCTTGTGAAGGGAGGAGTAGCACCGCCTGCAGAAAACGCGACGGATCAAGAAAAGACTGCATTCAAAGAATTGAAGAAGAAAGATTATAAAGCTCTCTTTAAAATCCATCAATGTGTAGATCCAGATAATTTTGAAAAGGTTAGTGATGTAGAATCAACGAAGAAAGCGTGAGAGATTCTTGAAAAGTCGTTTGGAGGCGCAAAAAAGGTGAAAGAGATGAGGTTACAAACTCACAAAAGAACCTATGAATTGCTTCAGATGGAAGAAAGTTTAGAAAATTTCTTCACTAGAGCTACAAAGCTGGTGAGACAAATCGAGGTATGTGGAGAAGTGTTGACATCAAGATTAGTTGTTGAAAAGATCTTGAGGTCGTTGGCTCCAAAGTTCGACAACGTGGTAGTAGCCATAGAAGAGTCGAAATACTTGTCAACATTGACGAAGGAAGAGCTTCAAGGGACGCTTGAGTCTCATGAACAAAGGATGGCTAAGAGAGCTGCAAAAAAGTCGAGGAGTGACATGGCTTTGCAAACACAGTCAGAAAAGGAAAGGAATGACAAAGAAAGTTGGAATGGCAACAAAGGTAGAAGAGGCTACAACAATTCGACTGGTCAAAATCAGCAGGAAGGAAACTGGTCTAATCAAAGAAAACCCTGGAACCAAGGAAACCAAAAAGGTGGTGCTGCAGGTAGAGGTAGAGGTGGTGGATGAAAGCTTGACAAAAGTCACATTCAGTGTTTAATTGTCATAAGTATGGTCACTATTTTAGTGAATGTTGAGAAAAGAAGAAGAATCAAGAAACTGATACAAAGATGGCAAAGCATGAAGAAGAAGAGATGTTGCTAATGATCACAACAAGAGACGAAGAGAGATTTTAGGACCAGTGGTACTTGGACTCAGGAGGCTCATCACACATGACTGGAAGGAAAGATTTGTTTGTCAACATGAAGCCCTTGTCAAAGAATATGGTGATATTTGCAAATGACAATACTCTAACAGCTGAAGATATTGACAATGTTTTGATTATGAGGAAAGATGGAAAGAGGTCAACAATTTCCAATGTGTTGTGCATACTAGGCATGAAGAGTAATTTGCTCAGTATAGGGAAACTAGTTGAAAAGAACTACAAAGTGTCGATCAAAGACATGATGATGAGAGTTTTCGACGCAGGTGGTAGGTTGATCTTGAAGGCTCTAATGTCTTAGAATGAGACCTTCAAGATTGAACTCAATATGATGTAGCACAAGTGCTTAGCAACTGCAAATATTAGAGATGAACGGTTATGGCCTTTTCGAATAGGCTATCTCAACTTTAATGACATCATAGAGCAAAAGAGAAGAAATATGGCTTCAGGATTACCTGAAATCGATATTCTAAGTGAAGTCTGTGAAAAGTGTGTTAAGTCGAAATAACACAAGAATATCTTCAGCAAGAATGCAGGAAAGAAGTCGAAGGCAATTCTGGAAGTCATATACTATGATATATATGGTTCAACCCAGATGGATTCTATTGCAGGCAACATATACTTTGTCATGTTCATAAATGATTATAGTCAAAAGTTATGGACTTACCTCATCAAGAAGAAAAGTGAGGTGATCGAGGTATTTTCCAGATTCAAATCTATGGTTGAAAGACAAAGTGGTCGAAAGATGAAAATTCTGAGTGTAATACCGTGATTTTTACCCCTAAGATCCCACATATCATTTGCATTTCATACCACAAACAAGA